GCATCATCATCATCATCCTGTCTCCTCCAATTCCTCCGCTGGCGCTGGCACTCGAGGCTCCGAAGGTCGAAGCCCATCCACAACAGGGAAGACGAGTCGGGATGGGAAAGAGCGCAAGCGAATCAAATGTACCGGATCCCACCAAGACCACAGATCCAGCCCAGATCAGGGCTCTCCCCCTACAGCATCCGCGAGGAGCTTCCAGCCGCGAGCGCGAAGCAAGTTTTCTGATGCGCGGGTCGAGAGCGCACCTCTTCCGGTCAAAGCCGAGCGGGCCGCGCGAAGCTTGAATTAACCAAGGATTGCAATCCTTCGTTTGAGTGGTTTTTTTTGCAATCCTTCGTTTGAGTGTTTTTTTGTTTTGCAATCCTTCGTTTGAGTGTTTTTTTTTTTGTTGCAATCCTTCGAATCAGAGGAAGAAGACGGACCACCGCCACCGAGAACCTGTCGGTGAGGGGCCTGCCCCCGGGCGGGGGCACGCCGGAGCGTCGTCTTGTCCAGGGGTGACGCTCGGGCGCGCCACCGCCCACGGGTCGGCCACCCGCGGAGGGGTTCTCGGTGGCGGTGGTCCGTGCTCCTCCTCCGAACGAAGGAGGACAAGGGGGGCGCAGCCTCAGAACGAGGCCGGGAGGAGGCTGCGAACGCGAAACAGGCTGCTCGCCAAACGGGCAGGACACGTCGGCGGCGACGGCGGCCTCCGCAGCGGCGGCGGCGGCCGCCGAACCCGTCCGGAGCCGAGTCCTGCGTCCAGGCCCAGGCTCCGAAGGAGCATGATGGACGAGGAGGCATTCTTGGTACAGGGCAGTTCTTCATACATCGGATTTCTTAAAGTATCGGATTTTTAATACATGATTAATGTATGAATAAGTTGATGCATGAACTCATCGTTGTTTTCAATACTAAATCCCTGTTTTTAAGACACGTGATCTGGACGCGGAGCATGTATTAAAAACGGCACTGTAGCCCCCAAACGTGGTGGTGGCAACACCTGGCTGTGAGTCTCGGGCGACTTGGTGCCATTTCCCGGGTTGGGGACTCGTGCGGTTTTTCAAAGATGTCCCGAACGCTGAGGGGCCCAGGAGTCACACAATCCGGTGGTGACCCCGTGTTCCGAAACCCGGCGGTGACTTTGGGGGGATCCCAGGGGGCTCCCAGCAGTCGGGGTGCAGGAGCACTCCGGGAGGGGCGGCGAGCCCGGCCTGCTCTGCTGAGCGTACAGGGGGCGGGGAGATCCGCACAGCCCGCACCTCCAGCACAGTCGCACACCGCGGGCACCCTGTGCCCGAGGGCCAGGGCGTGCCTTCGCAAGCAGGTGTGGTACACGGGGCTGTCCCCGCTGACGCCAATCATTGTCTTTGGGGGCACCCCACCTCCTCGTGCCTCCCCTTCTGAGGCGCCAGCTCCCCCCTGCTCATCCACCCTCGCTTCTCCTCCTCCTGCTCCTCCTCCTCCTCCAACTCCTCCTCCTCCTCCTCCTCCTCCTCCTCCCCTCCTCCTCCTCCTCCCCCCTCCTCCCCCTCCTCACCCTCCTCCTCCCTCCCCTCCTCCCCCTCCTCCTCCTCCTCCTCCTCCTCCTCCTCCTCCTCCTCCCCCTCCTCCTCCTCCTCCCCTCCCTCCTCCTCCTCCTCCTCCTCCTCCTCCTCCTCCCTCCTCCTCCTCCTCCTCCTCCTCCTCCTCCTCCTCCTCCATTCCTTCACCTTATAAATAACTTCTCCCTGTCCCGCCCCAAGGCCAGTTTTTAGGGCGGGGCGGGTGTTTCGCCTGAGACGTCCTCACCATCTATGTCAATCGTTTCACGGATTCAGGGCGGGTGGTTTTCAAACTGTGGCTCTCGCCTTAGCGCAGCGCACATTCTTTCAAACATGTGCAAGAGTGTTACGGCTTGATGGCGGATCGTTTGAAAAATGTGGCTCTCGCCTTAGCGCCGCGCGCATTCGTTTTCAAAATTTGCTAATGCTTGCGCGGCGCACATGGATTAAAAAATTGCAAGAGTTTCACGGATTCAGGGCGGGTGGTTTTCAAAATGTGGCTCTCGCCTTAGCGCCGCGCACATTCTTTTCAACATGTGCAAGAGTGTCGCGGATTGGGGGCGGATCGTTTGAAAAACGTGGCTCCCGCCTGAGCACCGCGCACACTCGTTATCAATTCTGTAAGAGTTTCACGGATTGAGGGCGGCTCCTTGTCAACATGTGGCTCTCGCCTTAGCGCCGCGTACATTCGTTTTCAAAATTTGCAACGTACCAAACATGGTGTGTTGGAAAAGTTCAGGATTGTGCGGGTGCAACAGTTATGTTGATCCGCAATGATGAAATCCAAAAAAAACTGCGTTACGGCACGATTCCGGATCGTCAAAACGCAGCAGTCAGGTTGATACGTGGCGTTGAAATCCAAAGAATAATGTTTTGGCATGGTTCAAGATCTTCAAACGGTTGTCCTGCAACGAGGCAGTTCCCTCAATGGAAGTGAACCGCTGTAGGGGCCTATGAAGAGGGGGGGGAGGGTAAATTCCAACATCGCTGATGACTCGTGGGTTTACACTGGTCCTCCTCCTCCTCCTTCTCCTCCTCCTCCTCCTCTTCCTCTTCCTCGCCCTCCTCCTACGTAACCCGTCTCTCCCCTACTCCCCTCACCTCCTGTCCTCTTCTTATTTTTATTATTATGATTTGTATTATTTCTCCTCCTCCTCCTCCCTCCTCCTCCTCCTCCTCCTCCTCCTCCTCCTCCTCCTCCTCCTCCTCCTCCTCCTCCTCATCATCATCATCATCATCATCATCACTCCCTTCGTCTCCCTCCCTCCCTCCCTTCTTCCGTCCCTCCCTACTTGTCCTCCCCCTCCCCCTTCCTCCTTCCCGCATTCCCGCCATCCTTCACTCCCTCCTCCCCCCTCCCTCCGAGTCCCAGTTCGTCGTCCTCCTCCTCCTCCTCCTCCTCCTCCTCCTCATCTGTCCTCCTCCGCCCTTCATCATGCACCCCGTCTTCCCTCACCACCTTTTCCTCCCTACTCCTGCTTGGCCTGCTTCGTTGCTTCGCCTCCTCCTCCTCTTCCTCCTCATCCTCATCCTCCTCCTCCTCTTCCTCCTCCTCCTCCTGCTCCTCGTCCTTCTTCCAATTTTCAGAGCAATGACGACGACCCTGACCGCGATCGCGACCGTGATCGCGACCGCGATGGCGACGGCGACCGCGACGGCGACGGCGACGGCGACGGCGGCGGCGAGAGCGACGGCGACGACGTGGGGGACGGCGATTCGCGACGGCGACGGCGACGGCGACGACGACGGCGACGACGACGGCGACGGCCACGGCGACGACGACGACGGCGACGGCGACGACGACGAAAAGGCCACAGGGACGACTGCGGCGATGACAACGGCGGAGACGACGGCGGCGGCGACGACCGACCGACGGTGACCAGGACCCCACAAGCCGCCAACGAAGCCCGCCTTCAGCGAGAGCGACGGGGAGGAAGGGCCCGCCAGCCCGCGAGGCGCCGGGCGCTCCTTGCGGGGCCGCCGCCACCACCACCCGTGGCGGTCGCTGCATCGCCGTCGTCGCCGTTGTCGCCGTCGTCGAAGCCGCCTCCGCCACCATTGCCGTCGCCGTCGTCGCCGCGCCGCCACCACCGCCGCAGCCGCCGCCGCAGCCGCCGCCGTCGCCGCCACCACGTCGGCGCCGCCAGTGCCGCCGCTGCCGTCGCCGCCGCCGCCGCCGCCGCCCCTGCTGACTTTGCACTCACCGCCGCCGCCGCAGCTGTCGATGGCGCCGTCAGACCCGGACATCCGACTGCTCCAATTGCTCCGATGCGAGAAGCCTGGAGGGAGGACCAATCGTTTTCTGACGCTCCCGAAGCCCGGCGAAGGCCTCCGGACGCCGAAAACAATCCCAAACCTGCCGCGACAACTCCTTTGGAGCGTCGGATCCATGGGGAAGCTGCCGATGCGGCGCGCTCGGTTCGGCGCAATGCGTGTTCGGGCCCGTCCGCTGGCCATTGGCCTTTCGCTGTGCAGCCGGCTTTGGCCGTCGGGAACCTATCAGGGGTGGTTCGGCATGCTGTGGGCCGGTCCTGCCTCCCCTATTTCCATCTTGGGTGCGAACTAATTGCGAGCGATGAATGGGGGGAAAAGAGAAAGAGAGAGAGAGAGAGAGAACAAACAAAAAACAAAAAACCTTTTCGGGCCCTACAGGCCTTCTCTGGGCCCTCAGGGGCCCAAAGGGCTCCTTTTCTGCAGTTTTCGCTCCCCCCTCCGCAGTTCATCGCCCTCCCATTGCGCGTCCTCCGATCATCCTTCGCCTTTCCCTTCCTGGCAAGATTCCCACCCGTGAAATCGGATCGGGTTGGATCGACATGTGCGTCGGTCGGACCAGGCTGCGTCGGCACGGGGTCGAAATCGAGTCGCATGAACTGCACCAAGCTGCACTTGTTTCATACGAGCGCGCGCAGTGCTGAGGCGAGAACCACATTTTGAACAGGACTTGCCCTCCATCTCTGGAGCTGATGTAATCCTTCAAAACTAACGCGCGCGGCGCTGATGCGGGAGCAACGTGTTGATAATCGCCCGCCCTCCATTTTTGAGATGGTTGCCCACAGTTCGAGGACGAAAGCGCGCAGCGCTGGGGCGAGAGCTGGATTTGAACCAACCTGCCCTCCATCATTGGAGCTGCTGCATCTGAAGAACGGGTTTGCGCGGCGTTACTAAGGCGAGAACCACATGTTGAAAACGGCCCGCCCTCCATCCTTGAAATTGCTGCACAGTTTGATCGCATGTGGCGAGGGTGTCTCGGGCGAAACGCCCAACCCGCCCTACCGACTCGTCAGGGGGTGAAAGGAATCGGACGAGAGATGGAGGAGGAGGACAAGAGGAGGAGGGGGAGGAGGCAGAGGAGGAGGTGGAGGAGGAGGAGGAGGAGACAGGCGCACCCCTGGGGAGGAGGAGGAGGAGGAGGAGGAGGAGGAGGAGGAGGAGGAGGAGACGGGCGCACCCCAGGGGAGGAGGAGGAGGAGGAGGAGGAGTCTGGATACTCCGAGAAAGGAAGAGGGCAGGCGGTCACGAGCACGAGCGAGAAGAGGGCAAAGATGTGTCTCTGTCTCTGCGCGCTCGGGCCTAACTCCTCTACCTATGTAGTAGTGCTATTGCAGCGCTGCGTGGTCGAGCGCTGGCTGTTTGCTTCAGTTTCGGGATCGTGCGGGGGATATAGCTCGGGAGCGTTAGAAAAGACAGGAAAAACAGAAATGAGAGGAAGCGACAGCGTGCCAGGTGTGGGGCACTGGGCTACAATGACGGGCGGCGGGTGCCTCAGCGTCACGCGCATCACCCGCCACTCCGAGCGGCAGAACGGCACAATCAGCATGTGGAAGCTCCGAAGCGGGGCATACCAATTCGTCTGCCAGGCCATTGAGAGACGAGCAGCAGCATCGAAGTTGGAGGAGATCAAAGCGGCGAAGGTAAAGAGCGCCAGGAACAGTCCAATCGTGCCCCTCGCCAGCCGCAGCATGCAGAAATGAAACAGCATCTGGAAGAGGTTGTTCGGGAAGGCCGGCGTCAGCCGAACAGCGAAGGTACGGGGCACCAGGTTCAGCCCATTCATGCCAATCGCCTTCGGGATGGTCGTCGCAAGCATCAACATGCAGAACGCGGGCTGGGCGAGCAGCGGCAGCGGCTCCAGGATCAGAGCTTCAGGAGGATATTGTTCGGGAGGGGCGGCGCCAGCCACCTCTTCAACCAGGGCAGAGATTCACAACTCACGTCAGAGTCGACATGGGTACCAGGAGATTGCCCAAGCTGGAAGTGGAACATGTCGTATAGCAGGCGGCGCCGCGCTTCCACGACCTGAACCCATGCGGCCTCGTGCTGCATGAGCTTCTCAGCCTCCGAGTGCGTGGTGTGATTGGTGATCTGCTCCGCGTCGGCTGGCAGGACGACCAGGCGACGTTCAGCTTCTGTAGCATCAGCGGCGGCGCCATGCGGGCCAGGAAGGACATGGATACGAGGATGTGCGCCCACGTCGGCAGCAGCTTCTGGCACGTGAAGAGGAGCGGTGGCGTGGACAATTTCGGGTGGCGTGGACAATTTCGGCAGGACCCTTTGTCCCAATGCGGGTCAGTACGAGCAGCAGCGCCAGGGGGAACCCCAACAACAGGCTCACGATCTTCAGGAAACGACCGGCACGTCAGAGGGGCACGATCACCAGCAGGACGACGGTCACCGCCATCATGTCCACACTCGACAGCGCACGCACTTCGGCAACGCAAACAGGTTGGATATGCAGTTCATGCGAGCCACCCGCAGCAGCACGTTCTTCGAATTCGCGGTCCGATTGACCAGGCGGCGGAAGAGGACCAGCACCATGCCGTATAGGACTAGGGACGATTCCTCGAGCTCCCCTGTGTCCCGTAGCCGTTGGATGAAACTGGCGATGCGGTGCAAGTCGTCGTTCATGCATACGCCCAAGGAGACGATCGGCGGCCGAGCATGTAGTGGATGAGCGGCGGGTCGTAGTAGGACGTGTGGTTGGTGCGGACGACCTCCCCGGAGTGTGCTGGGCGGCGACAGCTGATCAGCCAACTGCAGCGTGCGCCCGGCTGGCGAATCAGCAACCACAGAATCCGTTTGCAGGGGTAGGCGGTGCTTGGCTTTGCCGTAGTTCGTGTTTTACGGAGGTACTCCTTGAACTCTGAGTTGCTGAGCTGCTCCCTGCGGCGAGGATGGCCTGACGCAGCGAGTGCGAGCGCTGGCCTGACAGTTGTTGAAGCTCACGATGAAAGCTGAGCCCACGAAAAACGCGACGTGCATTTGGCGCCACATGCTGAGGGATGGCGACGTGGCGAACTCCCAGGGAAATAGGGTGTAGAAATCCACGCTCGATGGCGCGGGCGCGTCGCTCGGCAAGCTTAGTCACACTGCGGCGGAACACCATGCAGAAAGTCACACTCAGAAACAGCGGCAGACATCGCAACCAGGAGACATGCTTGGGGCGTGCAACAGCGCGTGTGGGGGGCTGCGTCCTAACATGAAGTTGGCTTGAATCACAATGGCTTGAGCCAAAAGTGTTACGGAAGGAGGAGGAGGAGGAGGAGGAGGAGGAGGAGGAGGAGGAACAGGACGGGAGGCACAGGTTCGGGCCGCAGTCGCACGGCCGCGCTCGGGGCCCACCCCATGGGGGGAGCCACGAGTTCCAATCTCTTCCCTGGCGACCTGCTTTTTCGCCCCAAGTGACGTTTCTGTTCTGCGGTCGCTGGACCCAGAACGGGCCCCTAGAGGCTAAAAAAACAACACGCGATCCACGGAATTAAACTACAACTCGACGTTAAATTTACACGTAGGCGCGCACACCAGGCTTGCATAACAATACACAATCAACACACGCGAGCACAAACAACGGCGCTGGATGTCTGGGGGCTCGCCTCTGCTGGGGGGGGCGCCTGCCATGTCTCTCTCTCTCTCTCTCTCTCTCTCTCTCTCTTTGTTTTTGTTTTTTTTCTCTCTCTCTCTCTCTCTCTCTCTGGCGAAGAGGGCAGGAAGGCCGAGGAAGGCACGAAGCCGGAGGACAGGCTCCCCACTGAACGTGCAGGAAGGTCGCGGCTGGGGAGGGCCGCGGAAGGCCGAGGATAAGGTGTAGCGAGCGAGCGAGCGAGCGATGTCGGCCTCTGCTGGACGCTGCTACGATGCCACACACGTGGCCGCTCCCTCGCTCTCCTCGCTCGCTCGCTCGCTCCCTCGCTCTGCTCGCTCGCGCCTCGTTCGCCCGCTCTGCCGCTGCCTCTGCCGAAACACGCAACACACCGCAACTGCACAGTGGAAATACGATGTAGTGCTACCAGGCGCTCGCCACCCGGCCGTAAAGCACTCGCGCCTCCGCAGCCGTCGGCGCACAGCCCAGCGCCAGGAGGTCGATGTCCGCGGCGCAGAAGTTGACCGTGCGCACAGGCCCCCCCCAAGGCTCCGACCCGAGGCCGGGGGGGGACAGCCCGCGCGGACAGACACCGCGTCCCCCGCACTCTCTGGCGGCGACGGCGGCGAGGCAGGCCCTCGGAGGGCAGCGCGGCGGGGCCAGAGCCTTCAGGACTCGCTCAGGTGTCGAAGCGGGCGTCGACTTCCTCCCTCCCTCCCCCCCTTTCTCCCCCTCTCCTCCTCCTCCTCCTCCTCCTCCTCCACCTCCTCCTCCTCCTCCTCCTCCTCCTCCTCCCTCCTCCTCCTCCCTCCTCCTCCTCCTCCTCCTCCTCCTCCTCCTCCTCCTCTCCTCCTCCTCCTCCTCCTCTTATGTGTCCGTCCTCCACCTTCCGCCACCGTCTTATCCTTCTTCTCCTCCTTCCTCCTACTTTCTTTCCCCTTCCTCCTTATCTCCCTCATCCTCCTCCCTCCTCCTGAGTACCCCCCCCCTCCCGAGTTCCCCCCCTGAGTCTCATCCCTCGCCCCGTGTCCCCCCTGAGTCCCCCCCCCTCCTCCTGAGTCCCCCCTTGAGCCCCCCCCCTCTTCCTGAGCCCTCCCCCCCCTCCTAAGTCCCATCCTCCCGGAGTCCTCCCTGAACCATCCTCCTGAGTCCCCCCCTGCCTCGGCCCCCATCCCCACCTTCCTCCTCCCACCTGCCCCTCCCCCAGCGCGCCTCTCCCTCTCCCCCCCTCTTCACTCCTCCTCCCCAACCTCTTCCCTTCCTCTCCTCCTCCTCCCCCTTCCGCCGCCGCCGCCTCCCCCTTTCCCATCTGCTGCCCCCCCCTCTCACCTCTTCTCCTCCCTCCACCCCTCCCCCTCCCTCTCCTGCTGACCCCGAAAGTGAGCAACCTCGACGAACACAAGGGCGACGGCACGACGGCGGCGGTGGCGACGGCGACGACGACGGCGACGGCGGCGGCGGCGACGGCGACGGCGACGGCGACGGCGACGGCGACGCCCACGGCGACGGCGACGGCGACGGTGACGGCGACGGCGGCGGCGGCGGCGGCGGCAAAGACGGCGGCACGACCAGCTGCGGCGGCGGCGGCGGCAGCGCCGCCGCCGCCGCCGCCGACGACGCCGACGCCGACGACGACGACGACGACGACGACGACGACGACGACGACGACGACGACGACGACGACGACGGCGACGACGGCGGCGGCGGCGGCGGCGGTGTCGTCGACGGCGGCCGTGACGAACGACGGCGGCGGCGGCGGCGGCGGCAGGCGCGGGGCGGCTCCTGCGGCGCGGCCGCGCGCCTGAGGGCCATGCCATCGCACGGGCGGCCGGGCAGCCGGCCGGGGGGGCGCGCGCCTGAGTTAGGAGGCAACTGCTGGGAGGTACCCATCCGAGGTACTCGGGAGAATCCCCCCAGCCCTCTGGGCGTCATCCGAGGTACTCGGGAGAATCCCCCCAGCCCTCTGGGCGTAGGTGTTTTTTGGCGTGTCCTCTTCCACCCCTCCCTCTTCCCCTTCGGGGAAGGGTTCACCCCTCCCCGTTACAGTCGAGGCGTTGACCTAAGGAACCCCAAATAAGGAACGGAACGAGGCCCCTTTTTCCCATAAGTTGAACTTCGAATTCCTATCGAAAACATAAGGAAAATCTGAGGCAAGCTGCGAAACACTTAAGGAACGCGGAGCCCCTCCCCAACCAAAAGGGTTCCTTCTTCAGGGCCCCGACTGTACCCCCTCCCCTGGACCTGGACGGGGCGACTCGCGGGCCGCTGGAGTGTCCAGGATGGCCCCAAGATGGCCCCAAGAGGGCCTCCAAGAGTGCCCAAGATGACCTCCAAGATTGCCCAAGATATCCCAAGATGCGTCAAGATGGCTCCCAAGATGCTCCAAGAGGACCCAAGACCGCTTCGAGACGGCTCCGAGCGGCCACGGAGCCTCCCCAGGACGCCGCCAAGAAGCCAAAATCCTTCAAGGGAGATCAATGGATTTTGCCTTCTCGCCTTTGCGCGTCCGGTGACCTTCCGAGGCCTCCACACAGCTCCAAGAGGGCCCATGAGGGCCCCAAGAGAGGCCCCAGAGAGCCCCAAGACGGGCCCAAGAGCGCTCCAAGAGGGTCCCAAGAGGTGATTTTTGGGGCTCCCGAGGGTGGGAGGCTAACTAAAGCTCCCCCCTTCTTTGATCGAAATCCTCCAAGATGACCCAAGGGGCGCCCAGGAGGCCCCAAGAGGCTCCAAGATGGCCCCAAGATGGCCCCAAGACGGCCCTAAGAGGCCCCCAAGAAGACCCCCCGCGGCCCAAGCAGCCCCAAGAGGCCCCCCCTAGGCACCCAAGACGCCCAAGAGCCCCCCAGGACCGCCAGGAGACCCCCAAGACGTCCCAAGAGGCCTACAAGAAGCGCCAAAGAGATATCCTATGAGGCTCCGAGAGGCATCCAAGAGATCTCTGGCCCTTTTGCTTGCCCTCCTTCTGCTGCTCCTTCTTTCTCCTCCTACTCCTTCTCTTCTTCCTTCTCCGCCTCCTCCTCCTCCTCCTCCTCCTCCTCCTCCTCCTCATCATCATCATCATCATCATCATCATCATCATCATCATCATCATCATCATCATCATCACCATCACCATCACCATCATCATCATCATCATAATGATTATCATCACCACCACCACCATCATCATCATCATCATCAGCAGCATCAGCATCAGCATCATCATCATCAGCAGCATCATCATCATCAGCATCAGCATCATCATCACCACCACCATCATCATCAGCAGCAGCATCAGCATCAGCATCAGCATCATCACCACCACCATCATCAGCAGCAGCAGCAGCGTCAGCATCAGCATCATCATCAGCATCCGCAGCAGCATCAGCATCAGCGTCAGCATCAGCATCATCGTCATCATCATCATCAGCAGCAGCATCAGCATCATCATCAGCATCATCACCAGCATCATCATCATCATCAGCATCATCAGCATCATCAGCAGCATCATCAGCATCATCCTATTCACCTTCCGTCTCCACACTTCCTCATCCATCCATCCAGCCTCCTCCTTCTCCTCCTCCCTCCTTCGCACAGTTCGGCCGTCCACCTCTTTGCTACCGCACTTCCCTGATCACCTCTGGTGGGGATGCGCGAAGCGCCTAAAATTAAGCCCCCTCGGGCCCCGACTCGGGGGCCTACGGCGCCACATCAGGCCGCGGACGCAGCGGGCCCCAAGGCCGGATTGAAGCCGGCTTCAAAGCCGGATTGGGCGGGGCTGCGCCGGATTCGTGCGGACTTCGGGCCAGGGCAAAGTCAGAGTCGGACCTCCCAGGAGTGACCAGAAGTGACCATGAAAGGACAGCGCCCGCAAGAAACGAGACAGATTGGGCGGGGACTCATCAGAGGAGGAGTCCCCGCCCTCGCGGTGAGTCGGACCTCCCAGGAGTTGCGCCCGAGCCCGAGGGGGGGAGGGCCGCGCGCGCGCGCCAGGGCCCCTCGCGAGGCGGCCCGCGCGCGCCCGGGGCCTCGCGCAGGGGACCTTCTGCCAGTGGCCTTCGCCCATCGCCGGCGGCCCTCGCCACTCGGCCGGAGCAGGTGCTGCGCACACGACGGGGAAGCCTGCAGCGGAGGCCAGCCCACAAGACGCCAGCCCACGAGGAGGCCCGCCCTTGCGACCCCAGGGCGTCCGAGCGATTCTCGGTGTGGGGGCGTCGCGCTGTCCACGGCAAAGCCATCGACACCCGAGAAGCACAGGGCCCCCCTGGAGGCAAGCAGGGTGTCTCTTGGCGCGGGCCTCCACTGTGCGGCGAGAGATCTGGGCGGACACACTTGTCGTCGGCCGCTGGGGTTCCCTGCGGTGCCCGAGGGCGTCGGCGGGTTTCCAATGCAGTCGGGGGAAGAAAAAGTCTCCGCGGGGCACTGGCTGGCAGGCCGAGTTCCTCTTTGCCGCGCCCACGAGATCACCCGTTCCGTCTGCCCGCCCCGGAAAAGGAGAGGGGGCGTGGAAGGGGGGGGGCACGACGGGTCAGAGCTTGACCAAGTGCAGGACAGCAAGCATGAGGAGGAGAAAGGGGGGGAGAGGAGGAGAAGGAGGGAGTACAGTCGGGGCTGATTGGAGAGGACACGCGAGAGGACACAAGACCCTTGCGAGGGCCACATTGCCATAGGAATCTA